AACATTATGATTCGTTTTTTGCTGATTGAAGGCACCAATCACCGCGAGTTCTGAAACGTTAAACTGGCCAATGAGATTCTTATGACTGTCGTGGCTTATATTACCAACATTAAAGTTTGATTTGAGAACTGCTGGAATACTTATAAATTGTAAGAATCATACCGCGCAGTCTTCCCAATCGTACGATAATTATCGTACATGTATGATAATTTCGTCCAATGTACGATAACCTACTATTATCGCACGCGGATTGTACGATAATTTCATAACCGCCCACTGCCAATTCAGCTGAGCAATTCTTCGAGCAATGGCAGTAACTTTGGTCCTCTACCGAATTTCTTCGTTCCTAATACGGTCTCGTAGAGAAACACCAAGCATTGATGTCTCCATTGCCCTCTGGGTGGCCTTCTTAGAGACCCATCGTAAACAGCCACGTCTAGCTTCCGTAAATCATTTTTGGCAACACATACTAGTCAAAGACTTTTGTCTCGAGACACTGAGGTAATTTATTGCGGCATCTAAAGAAAGCTTTTGACAGAGTAGTACGTAAAGAGATTTGGGGCATAGTGTCGATATATGATATTAACCTGTTATGTGCTGTGCAATCCATTTATAAGGTCTGCATTTGGCCTCAATATTGGTTGGTGGTCAAGACTGTTTCTCGAAAACTATATAATAAAAATATATACTTCATAGAATAAGATTTTTGAATGTGGGATTTGAAATGGGTAATCTAGTTGTTAGCTGATTTCTTTATACAGATGACTCCATCGTCCTTGCAAAAAAAAAAACCGTTGCAGATCGGATAGCTTTTTTAGCCATAGTGATAAAAAATATTTTATGATGAAAGGCTTACAATTGAATATTAATTATTCAAATATATATGCAAAATATATAAAGAGACGACACCAGAACGAACGTAAGGATCACGATTGACGTAGTGCTCGAGAGTTAGCAAATTTGTAAAATCTTGAATGTGGTTTTAGCATGTTACACCGCTGACATAGAAAGGAGACTTATATGGAGATATTATTGCATACTAACTTGATAGCTTAAATTAATATTACTCAATTAGGAAAGAAAAATATTAATGAATCTTTTCGAGACAGCTTTTGTACGGCTGAATGTTTTAATTGATGATCACAAGTTGTGACAAAAAATTAAGGACTTACTTAACGACCGTAACGTAATCCGTATAAGCGAAATACCAAGTTTCGAGAGTTTACAATTTCCTATGTTTTCTTGGGTCACGACAGGTTCAGAAACACTGTTTTAGAAGGAACTCGGTACGCCTGACTCTTCAGCACTTGTTTGGTAAATCAACCGTTAAAAAAGGAGGGTCTCGCCACTACGACCTATACAATACGGATTTAATTATGACTATTCTATTCAAGTAAATAACTGGAAAAATAATTCTATATTTCTATTTATTTTATTATTATTAATATATATTATATTTATTTATTATTAATTCTTTATTTCTATCATACTGACATAAGGGGTCATTAGTCCATAACAATACAGATGAGAAAGTAAACTGCAGGTAACTTGGAAGCGAAACAAAACGGTTGTGGTTGATATCACATTGAAAGCAAACAAAACATTGACCTTTTTGTTCTACATAAACAACTTTACATGAAACAAATACTCTAGTAATTTAAGAACGAGACTCTTCATTACACATTGAAAACGAAACTGAGCAAATAACGCAAAATGGAAGTACGGAAATGTGCCAAATACTAATAATATAGCAACCACTGGGCTGAAATTTGAGATTAAGCATAAAACGCCATTAGAGGACATTTATACTTCAATTTTAAACCTGGTATTGTACTGAACGCGTTATCCACACAACTTCATTTTTATTAAAAAATATCCCTAATCTCATATACATATAATAATTTAAAGTGCTGAGAGACGAAAGCTATTGAATAAATTGAAATTGTTTTATTTACTTCCGTGCCGAACTCCAACACGTTAATTATTAATAAAATAAAAATATAATAATTATCGTATTTTGTGTTTTCTACAAGTTTTTCTTATAACCATTAAAGTAAAGTAATATAAAAAGTCGTATTATTATAAAAATACAACATGCATCTAAATATATATAACTCAAAGGTAACTGACTGACATAGTGATCTATCAACGCACAGCCCAAACCACTGGACGGATCGGGCTGAAATTTGGCATGCAAGTAGACGTTATGACGTAGGCATCCGCTAAGAAAGGATTTCGATCAATTCTACCCCCATGGGGATAAAATAGGGGATGAAAGTTTCTATGAAACTGTCAATTTTAAACCGATCAGGCTGTGATGCATAAAGCTACTATGACGTAGGCATCCCCTAAGAAAGGATTCTGGTCAATTCTACCCCTAAGGAGATAAAATAGGGGATGAAACTTTGTTTCAGGTATTTTACACGATATATTGAATAAATATTCGTTAGAAATGCTGCCCAAAGTAACTTTACCACGCGGACGAAGTCGCGGGCAAAAGCTAGTTATTTTATAAAAATACAAAAAGGTTGAGTATATCTTTAAGCAAAGCACTGAAATATATGTTTTACCTTTACATTAATATGGGATTTAATAACTTTATTAAGCATATTTACATAATTTTGCTTCATTTCAAATCAATTAACTGGAATCTATATTTACTAACTGCTTACCTTCACACTCCATTAATATTTTTGATAATTAATAATAAAACGGACATCTTCGAAATTAGTATGTCATAAAATTATTCACACAGTCATTTTACAGTAAAAACTACACAAAAAGCCTAGTTTATTTCGATATCTAAAGCCTCACGCCGAAAATGTTGATCGGCAAGCAAGGATACTATAGTAAAATGCCAGGACTGACTAGAATGTATGGCAGCATGGTAATAATGTTGTCACTTTTTAGAGAGGCATTGAATAGGTTAAATACACCCGAAAATTAATTAAACAAAAACAAAGTTAAAAACAAAAACCCAACTACATCTAAATGACACTCTAAATAGTTTGAAACAAGTATTTATTTATAAAGGTAGCTATATTATACTAGCGACGACCAAAAGGCAGCATAGTCGTATGCCACAACAGTTTTTGTTATGATCAGTGGCATATCACTTTGGTCATCACTATCATAATGTAGATATCATAAAAAAAATAGCTGTGATTTTACAGACTTAAACAAAAAGGAGGAAGAAAGTAGTACTGATTTACTTATTTTTTTTATATTTTCATATTGCATCAAAACAAGATTAATGAATTCACTTATGATATGCCATTTTGGAAATGTTATAACAATTCTTAAATTTGTCTCTTTAATATTATTCTCACTAACAGTAGATATATCAGCAGCAAACAAATACAATGTGAAATATAAATTGCCAACAATAAAATGGTATTTAGAAAAAACTAAAACAATAACCTAGAGACCAAAGTGATCCTATCCTACCTATGCTAATAAATAAACTTAAATTGGAAAAATATAATGAAAAAAGAAGAAACTAATCCAACTACATAGACAAAATTATAATAAACATCCAGACTAAAAATGTTGACCAGAATTTGAATAAATTGAACGAGTGAAGGTTAAAAAAAGTATGTGACAATGCTTGTCACTTTATAAACTCTGCTCTTGAGACTCATAAAACACAGTTTTGTGTATGACGGTGTCATAACTTAATTAAAAAAAAACATGATTTTTTGATATCTATTATCCGAATCGAGAACTACATATAATCCGATCCTTAGTTGGGATAAGATATAGATAGCATGGGTTTAATGCTTAGGTCAAATTAAAATGTTAACCGTCATATAAATAAGAAAGAATAATCATACTAAATATGGCTTAAAACTTCATCAAAATTAACTTAGGTAATCAATTCTTAATTTGTAAAAGACATTCTTATGTACTTTAAATACTTTTACTAAATTTTAGTGGCTATGTTTAATTTTATTAAATTCTCTCACTACATTCTTCAAGATGAAATCACCCAAAAGATTTATACCATAGCTCTAATTGCTTACATTAAAAAAATAAAACATATAATTCTAGGAATTCTTAATGAAAAATGCTTAAAAAGTCAACCAGCCCCAGGTACTCGAGATGGGACTCGAACCCACAACCTTTCACAATCCGGGTGACTGCTCTAACCACTGAGCTACCCGGGACCAAATTTTTAAGCACTTGTTACTTTTCACTACAAGTGAGCATATTTTCATCAATGTCATTGATGACCGCCATAGCAGCAGCTCGCACACCGGTTTCAAGGTGTTGCCATCTCTGAGATCCTGGGTTTGATTCCTGGTCTGGTCAATGTAGAAAATGAACTTTGTCATAGTTTGGGTGTTGTGATACCTTCTTTGTCTCAAATACTCCATAATAGTCCACCTTGGAATCCGAGTAATATATGTGATGTAATATTATTTCATATACATTTATTTTAATGTTCAGGCAATCCACACAAAGAACCAAAAATATCTTTACAAATATTTTAAACTTTTTATTAAGATTAAAATTTTCCAGTATAGCATTGTGAATGCAAAATTCATCAAATATATTATGTACATATTATTCTAATTAGTAAAGTTAAGAAATGTCCAATATTTTATTTATATTGGCAAGTATTTTAAGGAAATTTTTTATTATTTAATTAATTGTAAGAGTTTTACGATTATAACAATAACACCGGTGTATAACTTATACGTATGTTAGTATTTACTAATTATTAATACAGTATAAGTAAATCCTATTAATATTATAAAGGCGAAAGTTTGTAAGTATGGATGTATGGATGTTTGTTACTCTTTCACGAAAAAACTACTGGACGGATTTGGATAAAACTTTACAGCAATATAGGTTATACATCAGAATAACACATAGGGTACTTTTTACTGGGAAAACTTCTCACTCCCACGGGATACCGACTTCCACGCGGACGAAGTCGCGGGCGTCCACTAGTACTTCATATTTAAAAGTACAACAAATATAACCTAAAAACTTACGTTGAAAACGTGCGAACCGTTGCCTATTCTTTTCTTCTAGTAATCTTTGTTCTTCTTCTTTCTTATTCTTCTTTTCCAGCTCACGATTTTCAACTTCTTCTTTATGGCCAACAGGGATAATATAATTTTCTTTCTTCTGTGCGGACTCGTATTGGTTAAGATTTTCATATAATGGTGCATTTTTCACTGGTATTGCAGCTTTCTTAGAATAAAGCGCTTTTAATGGATTAAATTTCGAACTACAAGCACTAACTTCCGACTCAGAAGTGGAAGAATCAGAGTTATTTTCATCAGACATTGTAAAAAACAAAAACAAACAAATTTCATACCAAAATACAGACGGATGGCTGGCTAAACGTCAATGTCAACTGTCAAAACATGTACTCCATTACTACCATAGAAATTACTACACATTAACACTGCTGTTGAAAAAAGCGCGGGAAACGTTTAACTTTGGCGGGCGCGTTTTTTGATTTTAATATTTTTAACTAATACCTCTTGCATAAAATAGTGATCAGTTAATTGGTTTGTACTTACGTATTTATAGTGTATTTAAGTATTATTTATTATCTACTTTCTGGTGAGTCAAAATTTAATTAATATTTATTAGGTGTATGAACGAGCTTCCGGAGCCGGGGGGTTTTATCCCCCCGGCTAGTAATTTTGTTACGATAGGATCGAATAATGAATCTGGTATGGATACGGATGGATCAGTAGCTAGTCGCTCTCTGAAAAGGAGTCGACTTCATGTATGCAAGCATTGCAATAAAAAAAGACGCAAACATAATAAATCAGAACCAAAACCTACCGATTGTAGTTGCTATGAATCGACTCCAGTTCAGTCTGAGCTGAATAATAAAACTGACTCATCTACGAAAGACCCACCTGAGTCTAATCCCACACCTACACCTACTTTTGCCCCTGTATCCGTTGGTAGAACATCATATGATAAAACAGATGCTGCTCCTTACGTGGTACATGTTCAAAAACAACAAGCGACACCTAACGATGGAACCTCATTGCATCCAATGGCTTTTGGTAAATTTTTAAAAAAGAACTGCTTCAAGAACATTATTAATGGTAGCGTAAAAAAGATTGGCCGCAATAAAATGTCTGTCTCTTTTTCAACACACTATGATGCAAACGATTTTATTATCCACAACAGTCTTGTTACAAACAATTTAAAAGCATTTATTCCTTCATTCAACATCACAAGAATGGGTTTAGTTAGAGGCGTTCCTTCAGACTGGTCTCCCGAGGAGGTTAAAAGTAATATATCTGTACCTATAGGTTGTGGTGAAATCTTGAAAGTAAGACGGCTAAATTATAAAACCTTTGTAAATGATACCCCTACTTGGAAGCCATCTCAAACTATCGTTTTAACCTTTGATGGTCAAATCTTACCAAAACGCATATTTATGTGTTATAATGCTCTTAATGTAGATTTATACATATATCCTACGATACAATGCTACCAATGCTGCCGCTTCGGGCATACAAAGTCTCAATGTAGATCTAAACCTCGATGTTTCAAGTGCGGTCAAAATCATACAGGTGAGTCTTGTAATACTTTAGAAGAAGATGCATCCTGCTGCTTATGTGATGGATATCATTTTGCTAATAATAAGTTATGTCCAGAATTTGTAAGGCAGTCACAAATCAAACTTTACATGGCACAAAATTGTGTATCTTATGCTGAAGCTTCTAAATTGATACCATCTATTTCTAAGTCTTATGCTGAAACTGTAGCTGCCCCACCTACAAAATTGTCCATGAATGAGATGGAAAATAGTAGAGCTGTTCCCAATGTAAGCCCTAGGACATCTTACAAAAAAACAACATTTGTTAAACCTCGCTCTTCTCCTATTCCTACAAAGGGGTATGACACAGTTGCTCATAAAGCGTTATTAAAGGAATTTATGATTCCTTCACCTAATAATGGGTGTGGTTTTAATAATGATACTAATTCTGCATCAGTTACACAACTTCCTACAGATTTTATTACTGCTCTTTTCAATCTTTTTTCCCAGTTTAATCTCTTCCCACCGTCCAACGCTGCACAGAATATTGATAATAATATGAAACCAACTTTAAATGGACAGACAGACAGACAAAATAATTCAGTGGAATTGCTGTAGTGCTATTAGTAAAAAAAGTGAAATAATTTATTTACTAAATAAATATGAACCATCTATTTTAGTTCTATCAGAAACATGGTTAACATCACAAAAACACTTTCAAATTAAGGGTTATACTTCTTTAAGAGAAGATAGAAGTGATGGGTTTGGTGGTGTAGCCATTCTCATAAAAAATGGTGTTAATTATGATCCCATTAGCATATCTATAAATCATAAAGATATTTCAATTGTAGCAGTGAAAGTATATAATATTAACATAGTGTCGATTTATATCAGTCATCCATCTGCACCAATTTTTGGTGAAATAAATAATTTATTCTCTACCCTTCCCAGACCCTTCTTAGTTTTAGGAGATTTCAATTGTCACCATAGTGCATGGGGAAGTTCTATTATTAATAGTTATGGAGTAAATTTATTAGATATTATTGAGTCACATAATTTATGTTACTTGAACACAGGATCACCCACAAGACTCACTGATCCTAGACTTAATAAGAGTGCAGTAGATTTATCAATATGCACACCAAATTTGGCTTCTTCTTTATCCTGGCATACTTTATCTTCTACATTAGGAAGTGATCATTTCCCTATTATTATTACATTTCCGTTTAATAAACCTAGCATTTCCCAGAAAAAGTCTACTAGAAGATATAAATTACCTGATAAAAGTTCTAAAGATTGGATTACTTATAAATCTAATGTAGAATGCAAGCTTAAGTACCTCCCTGTTATTACTCATGGAAATGAAAACATTTGCGCTGAAGCATTATCAAATATTTTAAATGAAGCTGCCAGAGAGGTGTTTCCTGTCAAAGAAAATAATTGCACAAAAATACCATCCCCTCCTTGGTGGGATAAAGATTGCACTGAAGCGGTTAAGAAGAGAAAAGAGGCTGAAAGAATTTACAATAATAATATGTCTGAAGCTAACTATGAATACTTGTCTAAAACGATTGCTGAAACAAAAAGATTATTTAAAAAGAAAAAATTCGACAGTTGGAAAAGTTTCTGTAATTCTATTTCTCCTAACACACATCCTACTCTTGTTTGGCAAAACATAAAAAGATTTAAATCTTCATATAATATATCTTCTGGAATTACTATTCCCACCGAAATAACTATTAATTTCATGGACAAATTGGCCCCTTCATGGGTTCCCATGCTCAACACTGCACAACCTTCGCAGTCGTCTTATAATCAATCTGGTTTAAATAGCCTCTTTTCTCTTCGTGAACTGAAAAGTGCAATATATCATGTTAAAGATTCTGCTCCGGGGGAAGATGGAATCCCATATTCATTCTTTGCTAATGTAAGTGACAATATCCTTTTTTATTATCTACAACTTATCAACACTATCATGTTGACAGGAAACATACCTCTGTCATGGAAGTCACAAGTAGTGTTGCCCATCCTCAAACCAAATAAACCACCATCTGAGGTCAGCTCATATCGACCGATAGTTTTATCTTCTGTGCTAATAAAATTAGCTGAAATTTTAATTAAAAACCGTTTGGAATGGTTTGTAGAAAGTCAAGGTATACTATCGAGAACGCAATATGGATTTAGAAAAGGGAAAAGTACAATGGATAATATAAGTATTTTCACAACTGACATACGTATAGGTTTTACAAACAACGAATCTATAGTGGCTGCTTTTTTGGACATCAATTCTGCTTATGATAATGTGTTAGTGTCAGTATTAAAAAATAAATTAGAATCGCTAAACATCCCGTCAATGTTAACTAATTTTATTATGAACATATTAGAAGAACGTAATTTGATTGTTAGTTTATCTAGTTATTCAGAAATAAAAAGGACTGTATGGAAGGGGTTACCCCAAGGGTCAGTCCTTAGCCCTTTGCTATACAATATCTATACACATGATTTGGATTCTTGCTTCGATAATCATATAAAGCTTTTACAATATGCGGATGATTTGTTATTATATTCAACAAACCGATCAGTTGAGATAGCTGCGTCACATATTGAGTTGGCCTTGATTTCATTACACTCCTGGATGCTTACCAATGGCTTAGATTTATCTGCATCCAAAAGTACAATCGTAGTTTTTTCAAGAATGAGGAATCCCCCTTTAATTAGAGTTTATTATAATAACTTGCCTATACCAGTTGAATCACAAGCTAAGTTTTTAGGTGTGATATTAGATTCCAAGCTCTCCGGTCGCTCCCATATAGATTACATTATCAAGAAAACTGAACGACTATTAAATCTTCTTCGATGTCTGTCCGGTGTCTGGTGGGGGGCTCACCCTCAATCGCTCAAGTTGGTTTATAACGCGCTAATTCGAAGTGTATTGGATTATGGTACTTTCCTTTTAGAACCTGCCAGCTTAATTTCATTAAAAAAATTAGACGGTATTCAATCAAAAGCACTTAGAATTATAACTGGTGCTATGACCTCAAGCCCAATTAATGCTTTACAAATCGAAACTTGTGAACCCCCACTCAGTATTAGACGACAATTTCTTGCAGATCGATTTTTGTTCCGATCTCTTCAATTCTCCGACCATCCTCTTTTCCACCTACTTAACTCTCTGAACAATGAAATAACTACAGCTAGCTATTGGTCTCATAAACAACTGCCTTGTTTAATAGTAAGCTATCAAAAATACTTGAGCCTCCATTCACCTATACATCGGTCAAATCGTCTTCCAGTGTTTAATATAGATTATGACGCCTTGCTAATTTCACCATCTGTAAGGTACGATCTGATAGATAAACATAACGCTAAAACCTTTAAATCAATTATAGATTCCGAATATGAAAATTACCATCATATATACAGTGATGCTTCTAAGTCTTCCTCTTCTGAATGTACGGGCGTAGGAGTCTACCACTCTCAGTTTTCCATTGTGCAGAAAAGTAAACTTCCTCCGGAGACATCTGTATTTACGGGGGAATGCCTAGGCTTACTAAAAGCTGTTGAGTATGTCGTTCTCATGAAACTAAATAAATCAATAATATTTTCTGATTCAAGGAGTGCTTTACAAGCTATTGATAATTTTCCATTCCGTACAAGATTATATAACCCACTTGTGTTTGATATAAGAAATAATCTTTATAAATGTGTTAAAAAAGGGTATCTGGTAGAATTTGTGTGGCTTCCAAGTCACGTGGGAATTCAAGGTAATGAGAAGTCTGATCAATTAGCAAAAGAGGCAGTACACTGTGGAGACATGTTTCCTTTTAAAATTTATACCCATGACTTGTTGTTGTTGCCGTTGTGTCATTTGCATAAGGAGTGGCAAACTTATTGGACAAATAGTGGACAAGTAAAGGGAAAACATTATTATCAAATACAACCTAAAATTATGATGAAACCGTGGTTCCGTAAAATTAAGATCAGTAAGACTGCTACTAGTATTTTAATACGCTCGAGAATTGGTCATGTTAGTACACCAGCACATCTTACTAAGCTAGGAATTGTTAGTGATGCTTCCTGTAGGTGTGGGTCAGACTATTGTGATCTTAACCACATATTGTTTTCTTGTACACTATACGATCGATCCGAATTCTTTAAAGATCTCATATCCTTACGTGTTTCCTTTCCCACATCCATAGTTTCTTTGCTCTCGTCTAATAACATATCAGTATATCAATGCATAGCGTCTTTTATAATGTCAAATAATATTAAAGTCTAAATATCGTTATTCCTTTTTATGTATGTTATATAACGTATATATTTTACATATATTAATATTTTCGTTTCCTGATCCTATTGCTAAAATCTTGTCGCAAATCCTATCCTTTTTCCTACCATCGTTTCCCTACCTTTGACACTGGCAAATACACAAACCGTGTGACGCCAAAAGAAGAAAAAAAAAAAAAAAAAAAAAAAAACACTGCTGTTTTCAATATTTATTTTACTTAATAGTTACTTATTATTATAACACTAAACAATAATAATATATTGTTATAAAGTTTCAAATACACTCATAAGATTCATACTCAGGGCAACACGATCCTTTTATTTTAAAGTTATAATTGTGAAACGGAACGTTTGCGTTCCATTTTACGAAAGCACAGTATTCTTCAGTATCTAATCTGTGGTATAAGTAAGTAAAGTAAGTTGATTTGTGGATGTGTGGATAAGTTGAATGAGGAAGTATTAAAAAAAAACGAAAGCACTAAAAAAGTACCTCCACTAGATGGCGACTCTTCCGTTCCTTTTAACTAACATATTAAAAAACTGAAATTTTAAAAGTTAGAAACTTAAATATCAATACAAATATGAAAAAGTACAAATAGAATATGAGTTGTTTATTGAGTTTTGAAAACTAATTTACTTTTAAACATGAAAGAAAACCGGAAGGGTTGTCATGGAGAAATCAAGAACGTACCGTAGCGACATCTAGTTTGATTTCGGGACCTAAGGTATTTTTTTAAATACTTCCTACGCTTTAATTGCATGTCAACCAGTTAAAAATAGGAGATCGAAGTATATAAATGATATCAACTGAATTGATTAAAAATACATATCGCAATATCTTTATTGACATTGCACAGTCACTGTTCTCGTGATAGTCTGAAGGTTCTTCCTCTAAGTTTAATTGATAATAATAGCTATTAAGAAAATTAGATTTAATGCGAGTATTGAATTTATAATTTTGCATTTCGATTCACAATTCGTTGCATAAAAATTTAAACACATAGTCGCTTCCGGTTTTATTGTATTATATTTAAGTAATGACCTTGCTTGTGGATAACTTCGATGCCAATTTTACGGGACTGACAATCATCAAACCACTTCATACTAAAGAGCTGAAATTCGATAGTTATCTGCCCTACCCTAATAAGGTTACATATTAATAAACAATATCATTAATTTCTATTAATGGTATGAGCCCATCATGTTGCGTCTGTTAGCGACTCCACGCAGTGCAATCATATACAACAAGGTCCCGCGAACTATGCAATAGGAAGTTACGCTGCCAAGGTTGAGGTCCGATCCAATCAGTTTTTCAATAGACAATTTAAAAAGGAAAAAAAATGATCACGTAATGCGCTGACAACATAGTTTTAGCACTGGAGGATGGAGATTATGAAGAGATCTAAGTGGGCTAGATATGATCTTAAATATAAACAACATACTTTTAAAAGTTATTTTTAGCCTAAATCGGAAATATAAATATAAATGCAAAGAATAAACAATTAGGTACAAATTCGGATAGAGCACTGTGTTTCAGTTAAGCTTAATCTAGTGGATGATAGATGGCGCAATAAGTATAACTAACCATAAAAAAATGTTAAATTAAAATCTTCAATACTACGTATATGTAGTAACCTTCACTGACTATTATGTTTAATATATATATATATATATATACATATATATATATATATATATATATATATATATATACTTTTGGGTTATAATAACTTTGATTTTTATTTGTAACATTACAACAACTATGAATTTAATCACATCGCAAGTACCATTTTTAATTATTTGAAATTTACTTTTTTTACAGTTTTTATGCGCCAATAATTCGTTCACAAATTGATAATTCTACAGTACATTATTTAATATGTTTGCGGATGTGCTACACATTGACTTATTTAAATTACATTAACTACAAACTCTTTAGTTTTAACTGTTCTTAATTTTAAAGTCATGAATATTGTAGACTATGATTAGCCAGCGATACGTTGTATTATAAGGAATACCTATAGGAAAAAGGAAGGAATAAATGTTAGAAATAAAATATTGAAATAGAAATAACTTAATTCAGTAATATTTATCATAGTTCGTAGATGATAATCGTGTTATCATAGAAATATCCTTGAATTTATATAATACATAACATTGGTCTTTATAAGATACTAAGAACCACTGTGACATGTGATCATACAATTAATTTTCCACGCAAACCAGTGTAGAGTTGCTCGATCGAAAGTTTTTCACGCCGATAGTCGTAACAACAATTGACGAATATTTTACTTGCGCACACGCACACGCGACGAAGAAAGTGCTCTAGGAAGCGAAAACAAAAGTCTTTTTGCATCGCGCAGCAATTATAGTGAAAGACACACGTTCGCATTGTGATATTTTTTGCTATTTGCCACAATGCGTTCTTGTTACATAGAACTGGCACATAGCCTTCCGCACATTGTTATCAGTACGTTATGATTGTTATGTCAGACGGCTTGTAATTTTTTTAACCGTTGATAATAATGCTAAAGTGTTTATTAGAAAATTACTGGTCACATTGTCAACAAAAATCACTCGTTTTTGTACCGGAACAAAGGCATGATTTTATTTATAAATCTACAATTTAGTATTAATTTTCCGTTACTTTTTGGCATAATTATAACTGTACCAAATTTTATATTATATGTATAGATAAATAAAATCAAAGTATATTTTTGAGTTGCATAAACTAATCCTCCTTTCGTACCTTTCTTGCCTCTTTAGATCTACAAAATTTAGGTAAGATGATTCTAAGAGACTCCCCGCCTTTGAATGCTTTACAAAAATCAGCAAATAACCATATTTTTCAACGTACGTAATAAAGATCTATGTACTTATTAAATTAAAGTTATTTTAAATTACACCAAGTCTGATTGATTGGCAAAATTAATATTTACACATAGAAGTATCAATTAATCTTATTTTCTTTAATAATGGAACAACGACTTAATTTAAAAAAGTTGCCGCTAGCGTATATGAAGGACTGTTTAACCTCTAATACGTTTAACTCTAGAAAAGTTTGTTTTTTGTCCACAGAGCGGCGTGCACGCAGGCGGTCGAGCGTCGCGCCGCATCTATGCTGTGTCGACGCAGGTTCGACATACACCGGGACGTCGCCAGGTGATATCGCCGCGAAAATATTCACCCTTGCGCCACAACAAAATAAAGATCAATTAATAATACAATACGAGATATTTATTTATATTAATCACTATAAACACAAAAGATGAACTTGCATTAACATGTTGTCAATTTTCAAAAGTTTTACATTCTTTTTACTTGCTAATTTAATAATTTTCTGTTGTTTTATTTTACTTTTCTGATAAGACGCAATGAACTCTATGTTATCTCCCTATCCGATGAGTTAGCCTCTGAGGCCTGAGGCGAGACTATCAGGAAATTCTTAACTAAAAAGGTAAAGCAATTTTTGTTCTTTACTTTCATTGTTTTTGTTTGCGTATTTATATGTATCATTCTGCTTCATTTTCATTCGCAAAATAGCTTTGTTTATAAAATTAATTAACACATACGAGTACATGAATATTGTAACAAAATGTTTCTGCTGTTCTGTTCGTGTAGTTGTTTTAGATAATTACATAATTAGTTTGCTTCTCCTACTAACTTTCGCATTGTGATATTTTATTTTCTTCATGTTCTTCACAAATATTTATGAGTCATAATAATATTTAACCTCAACATTTTCTTTTATAGTAAAAAATATACACTTTCAACTCATATCTGCAACACAGTATGCATAAATTTTATGTAAGATAAGCTTTAGGTATTGAAATGGTTAAAATTAAAGTACTAAAATATCTCTATTGAAATTACGTCTATTTTAATTCAAGCTTATTGTTATTACATAGGTATTTAAATCTATTTTAATTTTGTAATACACTTTATCACAAATCGATTATTCGATTACAGAGTTCACATAAAAGACGTGAAAGCCTACGCTCTCAATCTCCACAGGTCGCTGCTGAAGAGAAGCGGAATAAGGGGAGTGAGGTAACCTGGCGCAGGGAAGGGAAACCAGCTGTCAACGTACAAACCAACATGTGTTCCACTACCCAGTACCTAAACTACGTGTAAATCATACATCGAATAATGTACGATCCGTCCAAGACGCTGCCAAACTTATTAAACGAATTTAATAGTGTAGATACAGTCTTTAGACTTATACTTTGTGTTTAGTTCGCGGGTGTTTAGTGCGTGTGAAAGTGTATAGCGCCTCCTGGCGTAATTTAGACGTAACAACGTGGCGGGGACGCATGCGCCGTCGGTACCGGCGCTGGCGATGCCATTTATTGAAGACGAATGGTGGTCAGCGGAGAATGAGGGCAGGATGGTCGATCTCTCCAATTGCCTTCAGGTAATTTAAATTACTTTCACATTACCATTAAAATATAGCCAATGATTTTTCAATAGAAATAATCTTAACTGATTGAAGAACACATGAAAATTGTGGTATATTGCCTTGGCTCGAAAGAAATAAACATAAGGACCCAAGATCAAGGAAAAGAGGCAGCATTTTATTATTGATGCCAAAACAGTACTGTTTGTACTTGAACTAACTTAGTAATTGAATCATCTATAGACAACGTAACAACTACCGCCATCTATTGCCGAGTAGAAAAACTAATATATAAGTTCTCAAAATTAGATACCAACTGATTAGAGTGGTCGATGGAGGCGCATGAAAGCCAACGATAGATAGATGCTTGTTAACATCTTGAATGCAGCAAAGAATAACAGCTGAACATCTGATGATCAGTGAAAATTCTAAACCATCGGTGGTGCGCTACTGACCTACCTATTACTCAAACTGTGAAAATTATACTATGGAATTAGCTTAAGTCATTATTTTTTCTATCCACATCGTCATTTTTACATATGTATAAAACTGATACATAAACGTACCATTGTAATAATTTCAGGACGCAGTCGTAGCCGCAGGCGGTCAAGCCGCTGCCCAGCTGCAGCAAATGGCGAGCTCGCTAGGCGAGCTGTCCCAAGCGGAGTTGTCAAACATAGTTGGCGGCCTCACGCTAGAACCCGACGCGGAGGCCGCCGACCCCGACGATATACTCAAACAATTGGGAGAAACCGCTTTCGATAATTTCGATACCTTTTTCACGGATTTGACGAATGCCACTGCATCTGCTGTACCGCCTGTAGAAATTAAGGTATTGAATTAAGTTTTTCTACTGTTTCATTAACTTGAAAAACGCTTATTATATTTGCTGTAATTTGTTTTTTATCCATAATATATAAAGTGAGTATATAAAATTCTAAAAAATTGTTTTTTGTAACGTTTCAGCAAGAGGAGAATAACAATATATCGCCAGCGTCCGGTAGCCAGCTTCAAAGCTATTATCCGCCCAATAACCAGATATCATTACCTAACAATGGCCAACACAGGCTACAGCAACTGCTTAGATCAGGCACGAACGCCATTAACAATGCAGTCGCCAATAACATCAGCAATGGCCGATACAACATTGCGTCACAGAATCCGCTGCTCGCTGAAAAACTAGCAGCGACATCTAGTGGCATAAAACAAGAACCCTTGAGTTCGGATTACAGTGGGACGACGATGAACTACGGTAGTGCTTCGCCAATGCAGCGGGTGCCGAGTGGAAAGCCGCAGGTTCACGACGCTGGAGGAGGCAAAGGTGAGTTTAATAATTATGTCATGATAGCGACATCTATTGACAAATACTAAAACTACTATGGAATTTGAAAAGCATACCTCGTTTATTCAGCTTTATTTTTACTCTAGTTTACGGATTTGACAACAGATGGCGCTAGTAGTTTAAATACAAATAGATTCATTAGATTAATATTAGATGGCGTTACTAGGTTCGTAATGCATGTTTCATGCATTTTATTTTATACCATCACTAATGCAAGTTTCTCTAGAAGTCGCCCGTTCACATTCGATTTCCGCTTGAGGAAGTGCCGGCAATTTTCCTTTCGTAAATTACCACTTTTACCGAGACAACTTTATGGTATAGATATCTAGTAAGATATTTTCCAATGAGAAAGTGTCGATGATGGTATCATAATTATTCGTTCACGTTAATTTCTTGCAATTATTTTAATATTGAAGTCTTAGTATAAGATTCTAAGCCAGTGTAGTTTTTAGACTTTCGGAAACTTAGATGATTTTCTATCCAGGTCATATTTTTAATGTAACTTTTCTGCCTCATCTCAGTGTACACCTGAGAGAAACTCTTTGCGTAGGTACTCTTTATAGGCACGTATTGAAATAAATTATAGTTGTATTTTAGAATTAATAATATTATTGAATATGATGTTAGCATATATCCCAAAAAAACTAAAACAAAAAAACATAGAGATGTCTCTTTACGACACTTACCATTGAAAGTCTACGTAGGATTTTTCTATACGGAGATAATGTGTTTTTGACCGACTTTAAAAAAAATGGAGGTTATCAGTTTGACCTATATGTATGTTTGTACGCAATTATCTCGGATTTGGTGATTTAAAGCTCAACTTTATGACTAACCTTGTTAATAACGAGTAACCAAGGGACTACTAACAGTGGGCTATGAAGTTACTATACCTACATTGGTGTACTATACTTACATTGGTGTGCTAGTGATCCAAACTAAAATAAGAACATAAGTAAAAGGCACTTATATGCAGATTAATTATATGAACATAAAATAATACATTTCATGTTTTATAAATTTACATCCAGTTGCACAAATGTTCATTAAATTTTTCACTGTGTAATGGGACTTTACTCATACAAATTTGACATTCATTAGAGCTTAAAGGCGTCATTAAACATAACTGGACATTTGTGCAAGTTACGGTTAGTCTGCGATAACAATCCTCGTCATGACGTAAGCTGCAGAGCGAAGCGACCGCCTAACCCCTCGCTATATCTCTAGTCATAGCTATAAATCGTTTTGAAGATATTATTAAAAAATACCTTTTAGTATTCTTAAATAATTTTATTATTTACTGTAACGATATTTCGTTGTCGTATTCATGGAAATATTCTGCGGCCGATAGTTTACCGAACCATTTTAAATCAAGGATATGAATTATTAAAATAAATATATATGACAAGGTATCTGGCTTGAATATATCTACAGATAAGCATAAGTTCCTATTCTGTGGTTAACCAAATAAACTAAGTTCTTAAATGCGTTTCAAATATTATAAACATACCTACAAGCTCGAAATATCGTTATAGATATTACCATTATCTGCCTAGATACCCTTATCCACAGAACAGATTTGCTGTTCTGTGCCCTTATCAATTTAAATGACACGGAAAAACCTTAATATTGAGAATATTTTCATTTATAAATTAACCTAACAATATATTTATATAACAAGTAGATTGCATATGTGTATGTTATCATTTTATTTAATGACTTTCATTTTTTTATATCTTATCTTTACCTATACATTTTAACATTTCTCTTAGTACATTTCGGATTCCTGTGAAGTCGTTAAAAATGCACTTCTCTATATTTATTTTAGCGTAAGGTACTTATTTTATATTAATTAGTATTCATTCGCTCTCTCAAATCATCATCTTTATTGACGCGGGATCGTGTAGGTATCCATTACATTTATTGCACGCATTGAAGCTCCAGTTGCACATTAACCATTCTTCTGTCTTATAAAGTGATTTTATCGAACCGGCTATTATAAATGTTAAAGAAAAATTAACTATATATTTAAAATATAAAAATACCGTAATTTTGTAACTAAATTTCATTTAAATATTACTCTGTTAAATTCTGTCTCGTTTTCCTTCGAGCGAGTATCTTTCGTCGCTGTAGAAACTTCAAAATAAGAAAATATACAAATTTAATAAAGAAAAGATTCAGTTAGCTTTGCTATTTTTTACTTTAATCAGCCAAGAAGTCGACGTCGAGCACGGTGCTGTCACAACATATGTACAAGTTTAATGAAATAGATTTCCTAATGCTATTTATTTGATTGAACCTTTATGCTGTGACAGTGATGTGCTTGAGGTCGAACTCGTCGCAGAATTTTGAATTTTAATACCACCACTGATCCCGAAACAGTAGTTTTCGAAGCACCTGCAACGTAAATATTAAATTGTGATGGCTAAATCAATTAAACCACTTCATCCGTGTATTGACAACTTTAATCTTTAAGGCGTCCGCTAGACGATAATGCAAACCTTCATCAATTCCATCAGTGATGAATTACATTTGCACGCTGGAATATTTTAGACAATACACGCTCGATATGAACAGACGGACTAATAAATAATATGTCGTCCACACTGGAGTTCGACCGCTTTACTAATAATAATAATTTATTAATAAATTACATTGTTCCAAATATGCTTCATTTTTATTTTATTTGCTTATGAGCCGTAAAATTCGATCTGTTTATTTAATTTGGTTAGTATTACAGTGTATTTAAAGGTAATATTAGCGTATAATGAACTCAAAGCCACTGATAGCTAAAGGCAGTCAATAGCCATAGCGGGCTGATTTTTTTGTTTTTCAATTAATTCGTTTGTTTCTTTTAGTTGATTATATTATATATATGTTTTTGAGATAGTTGTTCTTGTTTTATCTGAATTTCATATAACTCAATCAATAAAAAGAAACAAACGGATTGGTTGAATAAAAACAGGTCATTTTAAAAGAATATAAATACTCACTGATAAAAACATTGGTATAATCATCGCTTTGGCGTTCAATAGGGCTCCGAATTTGGACAGCGAATAAAAATAGAATCTAAGGGAAGCAAAGAACTATCCACGCAATCGTACCTACCTATTATTCTTACTGCCAGTTGCACAAAGGTTCATTCAATTTCCCTTTTTTTAAGCGACATTACCGATACAAATTTACATATTTAGAACATTTATTAGTGCTTAAAGGAGTCATTAAACCTTAATGAACGTTTGTGCAACTGGCGATTGTACTGGAAAATTTAGTAGTCAGTGTACAACATTTTAATTTGTGTTTATAACAGTGAATCATATTCCATTTTTATCTTGTTAGCATCAGAGATAAAAAATAAGAAAGATGTAGGTATATAAACATTTATAATATACCTACTGTAAAACATTGAAATATCAATTTCAATATTAAATGTGAAATTAAAAAATAGCTGTTTACACAATATGAGAAATTTAAAGGAAAATAGATGGAAAAACTCGCTAAAATGTTTTATTTTTAAAAAACAATGCCATATGTAAAAAGTACATACCAAAAAGGTTAAATATACATATCAAAGGAGTTCGCAATACACCATAAAAACTTTGTAGTGTGATAAAAACTTTTACCTGTATATTAAAATTTTTCGTCAAGTGTTTATGCAATTAAATATCGCTTTCAAATCATTAATAATATAGATAATAGTGTCTGGTTATTATCAATAAAAATCTTTTTTGCAAGGAAACAAATGGAAATAAATAAATCATTTTTATCAATAGATAACTTCTGTTATTATCGTGTTGACGAGTGCAATATCACTGCATTTGTCAACATTTTCTGTTCTACAATTTTGTTATGTCAATATTTGATATAAATGAAAAATAATCATTGATCTGGTGGATTTATCAATTATAATCAAAAGGCTGGCGGCGTCCTATAAAAAAAATATGCTAGTGATCCGACTCCGCTTAGCACAGATGATAAACGACAACAAAATCCATAGTATACAATCTGCATAGATTTTTTTTTCTTAAATTTAGATATTTTGAATTAAGTCAGGTAAGAAATACCGACACAGTAGAATTTTTCCTCTATTTAATCGTATACAATCTCCTTCTAGAATTGATTTGTAGTTTGATATATATTACGATTATGGCGAGACATCTTATCTCATTAACTGTTACTGATAAACGGTCTGTGCACAAACGTCCATTAAGGTTTAATGATGCCTTTAAACTCTTATGAATGTCAAAATTGTATGACTTATTTCAATTTTAATGGAAGTTTGTGCAACCGACCGTAATAATAACAGATCTTATTAAGGCTGCTTATAAAGACTAAATTAGACCGAGGTAAAGTCCACGGGATGTCATGTTACGAGAAAAAATACATAAAACAATTTTTAATTAATAATTTACTCTCAAACCATTACAATTATAGGAAATTACTCAATTTTAACACAACCTCCATGAAGTGATTTTTTTATTTATTTAGACTTTATTTCTTTATCCAAAATTAAATTGAAAGTGAAAGTTCCTTTTAATTTAGTCGGCCTATGATATCCGATTGCAGAAATGGCTATTGAATTTCAGTCATATTACCAATACAAATCTTTAACTTACGACACTCATTAGAACTTAAAGTAGACATCAAACCTACAGGCAAATTCAGTTAATTTGTACTATCTACCTAAAGTTCAGTATTATTAAATATGTCACCATTGATTTGTGAGGAAGATATTGCACTGATAATATTGCACTTTACGTAGACAGTACAATGGTAAAATGAAAGTATGTACTTGAGATTCTATCGAGATGCGATTATTACATAAAATATTTTCAGAATTGGCCTGCTAGTCGTTTGTTCAAATGACTTGATTGAGTGTTAGTGTGAAAAAATCAAGAGGTCCAAGTAACGGAATGCTTAGGTTTCTTAAAAAAATATAGCAAGTTGCAACCGATCGACAAAAAGTCTTATCCGAGTAAAAAGAGACCGCCACTCGTGTTAGTTTTTAAGTGATCACTCAATGGTCCCTGGAGGTTGGAGGTAATCTGACGGTGATTATGTACCACATGTGAATGCCATGGGTAGTCCAGGAAACCGCTCTCTTGAGGTACCTGGTTAGAGATAAAGTAAAATAATGGAAGTGTACATGATGACAACTTGCTTATAGTTGCTATTTTAAAAAATAAAAATAAAAAGGATGTTTGATTCTCTTGACTTTGCGCATCGTTTATGAAAAAAGAATATGCTATTTATTATTGCTAATTGCTGTCTTTTTTTTTGTAACAATAGACAATGCTTAAAACGTGATAAGTTGTCTTTACTGTTTCAGTTTTCGTCGTTTTGTCATTCTTTTTTTAATCTTCATTGATTTGAGAGTTAACCTGTTGAACCGACTTTTTATAATAAGACAGCCAATCTGTTGCACTGTAACCTTGCGATTTTTATTTTTATCGAATTCTGTGCTTAAGCACCTATCTGAAATGTTAACAATATATTTGAATAAATATGTAATTCGCCTAGCGTTATTTAGATTGATAACGTAACAAGATATAAATCATTTGCAATAAAAAATAAAAGATTAAATGATAATGTCATTGCTTTTACCTACTTAATGTGGGATTCTGTAATATCTATATA